GCAAAATTAAAGGAGTTGCAAATGCGTTGCCGGTGTTTTAGAGATTTAAGTGTTAGGTAGAGATAACTTACACACTGGTTTTCTGTGAGGCCGTGGTTGGACCCCGGTTGGGCTAGTCCATTCTTACGGAATCATGGCTCTTCTACACAGAAGAACTGGGAAGCCATCTCTTCTTTCTGCAAAACAGTGTTGAGCGCAAAGGAGGAGGGGGAGCGCGTCATGCGACTATCCTTCTTACGCACCAGCCATCGCAGTAGACGACACTCTGGACCTTGGAGATCGAACGGTGATCTCCGGCTATCGTGTAGCGCCTTGCGTTTCTTGCGCGTTCCAAAGAGCCAATTGATCACCATACACTTTTCAGTTTAGCTGAGATTGCGGGTAAAGCACAATAAGGGATCGCGGTCTCGGCCTATAGTAGGAGAATGAACGGAGTTTCTAGTCAGTAAGAGTCTGGCACACCTCACCTCCTCTAGACATACCCGTGAAAATAAACTTTATGTTTTTGCTTTAGAGAATAAATACAAGAAGAAACATCAAACATATTGAAACACGTGTAGATATGTTTATCAATACTCAGAAATTATACACAATCTGCTGATTATTCAAGAAGTAAGCAAATACTACAACACTGATTATACGGACAGTGAGACACTTATAATAAGGGACCGATTGAATGAATTATATTTATCTTGAACTCACAATTAATATGTCTTAACTAAAGTCAGTGAAATCCCTTACAATTATTCATTTTACAAATTAACTTATCATTTAAAATGTGAATTGCATTTTAGTTGTTCTTAGAATCAGGTCGGTCCAGGATTTTATTGGTCGCAAGTGTATTATCAGGAAGAATAGACGCTTGGGACCACTAGAGCAACAATTAAATTATTCGATTTATTCATATTCTTATTGTTACTTAGGCTACGAAGTCTATGCAATTTATCGTTTTTTTTTAATTGACCCGCTGTAGTTCTTTCTCATATGCGTTTACAAGCATACAATTTCTTATACACTTCAACTCGAACCCGGAACAACAATTTGTAGATCATACAAAGATTTGTTCCGTGCGGGAATTGAATGCACTACATGTCCTTTCCAGCCAGTTGACCAGCCATCGCGCCAATCGTGCAGTCAAACCTCAACTTAGCATCATACAGCTCTAATTATGTATAGATATCCTATAACATTCTGGTAGTATATAGTATCGTATATACTTGGAGAAAGAGCTGAGTTCCTTCTGCGAGACTTTTTTTTGTACGATACCGCTTTTAGCCCTCTAGTGAGCCTGGGGCATGCTACTCAAGTTTGAAATCACCAATCCGTCTTGAGCATGCGTGGTGATTAATACTCAAACCTAATCCGCTTGCAGATGCCTTTGCTCAGCAGTGGGCACTTATAGACTAAGACTGCTCAGGCGGCAAAGGATCAGAGCGCTGAACGAATAAACATGTCGATCGTGCGTGAAGCAAACTTGCACTTGGCACTCTGAAGAACCTGCCAGAAGCACTTGCTATTGAAACGCAAATAAACAGGCTTATGATGTTCATTCCTTTTGGCACTACAGTATAGATGTAATTAATAAAAACTAAATTAATAAAATGGTCTTTAATGTAATTACCGGTATTTTAAAATTAGCTTGGATTTAATATGTGTCATCTGTTAAAGATAAATCAATTATGGAAAATAAATTATACTGTATTTTAAAATACAATTATGTTAAGTTACTAAATTATAAAAAAGGTTTTTAAAAAAAATGCTAGGTATTTGAAGTTATTTATTTAATAAGGTGCAATGCAATATATGTATGTATATTACAGTTTCATAATTTATAGCTGAGGCAGTGCTCAGCATATAATCATAATAATGTATTAAAATGTACACAACATTCACTGAAAAAAGGGTACAAAATAAGATTGTTAATTACGAAGGTATAATATAAAAATTGTCATAGATATAATAACATAAAATCACAATTTAAAACTAAAATGGCAAATTTAATTTTAATGTTTTATATTGATTGTGGGATGAATTTAATATCAAACACTACAAAAACTTATTACAGGGATCATGGAAAAGGACAAAATTTTCCGTCATTCCGCATAGGTATATGTTCTAGTAGTTTTATAGAATTGAATTTCAGAGGATCTAAGTAAAGTTGGCATGTAACCAGTACGTTGACTCCCGGTAGTTCACAGCAAGATATATCTCTTCGGATCTCACAATCTTTTTATTTCTTCCGTCGAAAATGCGCTTCATATTTTTGCGGTACGAAAATAGAGAGAATTTGAATATTTTGAGATGATCCTGCTATATGTAGTACATAGTTAGGTAAAATATTATAGATTTCTGTTAGACTTTGTAGAAGATCCTAGGGCAAATTTAGTAATGTTATAGCAGTTGAACCAATAAATGTATACACCGTATATCACCGTATACCAAATGGTCAAATCATATTGATTGCTACGAAATTTTCAATTAATAACTGTTTGGGCAACAAAGAATGCTCTTTAAGAAAATTGATTAGTTCATATCTTGCAAAAAAAAATAGCAATATTTTTTATAAACTCCTTCGTGCTTGTGCATTGATAAGATGTCTATTTTTTCTATCACGTATACTTGTAACTTTGTTCCTTATTTTGTTAGGTATTTTATGGAACGTGTGGATCACTGATGGTAAGCAATTGGCGTCGCCCATGGATATCTTAAGCTAGGAATTACAAGAGCATTGCTGGCCTTTTGGGGGTTGTTAAAAATTTGAGAAATCGACAGAGGTAAACATCAAAACTTTTGCTTTCTACACATGCTACAGCAAACATTTTTATTATGAAAATAATGTAAGACGATATTGCTTAATGGACGTACGAACATAAATTAGTAATAGGTATCAATTTAACTAAATGCAATTTCTTAATTAAATTCGATAGCATTCATGGACATTTTATTATCCAATGTCCATTACATAAACTTCGGTTTGATGTGTTTATGTTAATTTTCCGTTTTATTGCTTTACATGGCTCCAACATGACAAACTAGAATCAATGATTAAACTAATATACCTAGTTAGGTACTTATTTTGGAATATTCTTTGGTAAAGTCATGTTACATGGTTGATAGAGTTATTTAAACTAATTTTATAATCATGCGTTCGTTACTATAATCCTTATGCGTCCTAATACTTACATTTGTCCTTCTTCTTTTTTTCTCTTAAAAATATCTATTGCCAATTACTAAAATTTTCTCCTGTTTACAAACATTACTATTTCCTTCCATATCCAGATGGAGAACAGGGTATACCTATAGATTACACAAAGAATTGCTCCATGTGAAAATCGAATACGAAAATCGGTTAAAATGAATAAAAATTATTTTAAATCTAATATGACTAACTAAAATTTAATTTTAGTTCAAAATTTCCAATCCCTTTTAATCATTCCTGGTGAAAGTTACAAGTGACAAGAGAGCCTTTGCTCACCAGCGGGCTATTATAGGTTTACTAGCGACCAGCAATGACTTCGTACGAGTGCAATTATACTAAATTTCTCCACAATATAATGTATGATATTACACGTATAAATTTTCCTCTGTAATTACTCTATTTATTAAAAAAACCGCATCAGAATCCGTTGTAATGTTTCAAAGATTTGAGCATTCAAAGAAAGCGACTCTGTTTTATAGTGAAGTGATGAAGAAGTTTTTTAATAGAGTAACGAGTCCCTCTAGTGTTGGGTGACCTCCAGCTAGGTGGACTGACGACATCCGCAAGGTGGCTGGCAGTGGTTGGATGAGAAGAGCTGAACATTGAGCTCAGTGGCGTGCAATTGGGGAGGCCTATGTCCAGCAGTGGACGACAACAGGCTGATGATGATGATGATGATGAATGAGTCCCTAGTATTGTCTTATCAATCGTTGACAAATTCAAAAACTTTGCTGTAACCTACAACTAATAATTTTGATAAGGAAAACCTACTTATACATTCCTGGATCTACAAATCGAAGTCACGTTCTAATCGCTAGCTTTCACTCCGGGGTTGGATTTCCAAAATTATATTGTAGAACAACTTTCCACAACTTTTGCGGTCACTTGTTGCTACTTGTTGGATGTTCATCGCATCCACCATCCACCGCTAATACCTAGCAAGTTAACAAAACGATACTTTGGAAATTTCGTTATTATAACAAAGAGTAACTTTCAGTGCATATTAAATGGTACACGTGTTATTTAGTTTGTTTTTCACTGTACTAGGAACCTTTTTTTTGTATTAGCAAAAACAAATTACAAGCGAACGCCGGCGTTCGCGCACCTATTGTTCTTCAATTGTGTCTCGAATTACCCCAATTGAATGGATAATAAATAATCTGAATGTAATCTCTCCAGTAATAGAGTGAACAAGATGTAAGTACTGAAATACCTTCTCCTTATCAACTCTCAATACAACAACAAAACCTTACTAGTTTAAACTACCACGTTTCAGAGTTACCTAATAAGCCAATAACTTTCCTATCAATAAAACACTCCATAAACTATTTAAAATCTCGTTGTAAAATGCGCTCTCAGTAAACAAAAATAAAACTCATTTTCTTTTGTTTTAACAACACAATCCACAACAATTTGCTGCTGATATCCAGTTTTAATCAGTTTGAACCTGAATTCGATAATTATTAATTAAGTACGGCTCGTAGATGAGATCTACTGTCCATTGTTATCTATTGAAACAAAAACATTGAATTGAATTGTCCGTTTATAATAACCTCAATGATTGTGAAGACGATAACAATTCACCATATTATAATATAATATCACTTTCTCTATTTCCTGTTTTTATTCAGTAACAAAAAAAACATGAGTTTTTTTTTCATATTCGACTATAAAAAAGAAATATAAATTATAAACAATTGGTTTTTTAGATAAACATTGCAAATTCTCGTTCTCTGAAATTTTCTTACTTACTCGTATAAATAAAGCTCGCGAGAGTGAAAAATAAAAAAGCAACACTCACCATTATCACAGCTATTGGCGTTCATGATGCCTTGACCCTGAACACAAGACGAATAACAATTTCATTCACTTTCATTAATTAAAAATTCACGGAACCAATGGACAGCTTCACCGTGGATAAAAGTTTGTATTGAAAGCACTACGAACACTTTTCTCGAGAGCCCAAAAGCGACCGGCGAACCCGTGTGATCACGTTAAACGTCCCTGTAATAATACTATTCGTCGCATGCGCACTGCGTCCAATTGCCATAATAGAAAATACATTAATCACTGGACAGAGAAATATGTCGATGCTACGAGTGGTGATGTGGTCACACAATCGAAGGAGTTTGAAAATAAGTCAATAACGGTTATTCAACAAGAAACGTGTGCTACGCGCGTGTGTGCGTATACGTCTGAGGATTCTAACGTCATAGCTCCCTACGTTTTCATAACTCGGCAATAAAATACAGAATTAATTTCTTGCATAGATCTGTGGTCAAAATCCTTCACACCATTTTAATAAATATTTTTAATTAAAAAGCAATAAAGAAACGACAATTTACAAATTACTCGTTCGTTACTTAAATACAAAGAGAAAAAGAAAATATTCTTTGCAAAAATTTTTACTCACTGGAGAGTGAGTAACCGGAAGTGTAAACAATATCATCATTTTTGTATAACGCATAGTATGATTGTATACCAATGTTAGGTTTGACTATGAAAATATTGACATTACTCTATAGTTAGTTTTGGTTTACTTCTAATTGTTTTTAGAAGTTCTATGAAAATAATAAGCGATACGTGTGAACAAAATCGTTCTCACAAAGTCAAAGAATAAGGTTAATGTTTACATATTTTTAGATTGTTACAACAATATTTTATGTTTTTAATTTCATTGTTTGTGAAAGAAATTATAAGTTTTGTTTGTTTGTTTTGCAAATTATATTGTGCTTTATGAAAACCAAACGTGTCGAAACAAGAGTAGGTAATAGGTAGAATGTAGGATGTTTGCCAGCCGTGAGGGCAAAAGGATTTAGACGCTTATATGTATAGGTAAATAATGAAGAATATTGGAGAGGAAATTAATTAAAACAAAACCAAAAAAATAATAACATAAACGTAACACGTAATTTTGATATGTCTAAAAAGTTCTAATTTATAACGAAAATATAACACAAGTAGTGATTCTAAAATAAATATTTACTAATTGTATCAGATAGGCACAGAGAAGTATTAAAGAAATCAATTTTTTTCACAAATTATAGCTAGTATCTAATTTTGGCATCAAGTATTTCGAAACCATTCTCTTCAGCAAATGGTACAATGAAAGGCACTTAAAATCATAAAATATAGCTCAGCGTGAGATAGTTTGCTTTATTCCACTGGAACGTCGACTCACCAGACAGTGAATTACAACAGGGCTGCCACTTTCCAGTTCTATTACAGCCTTACGCCAAGTGTGTTACATAATGAATTAGCCCGGGACCATTCATCATAGCCACCCTTTGCTCGACAAGCCCCTAAAATATACATACCTACGTTGTTTAAAAAGACATTAGTGTTATTGACACAAGCTATTTCTTACGACATAGGTACACGTTTTAGAACTGTAATTCATCTGCTACCAACATTTCCATCAAAAAGTTTAAATATATTATAGCGTCCTTGTATTAAAAAGATTCTCATCCATGTTAGTTCAACCGACTTGGCATTGGCACAAATTCAATAGACATTTATTTTTAAATATTCCGACACGTTACAACAAGACTTATGAATTTAAAATAGAGAGTTATTGTTACAAGGAATTTCAAAACTGTCGTTCAATTTACCTTCCGCTTGTGTGTTCCAAGAAAAAATACACTTTGGTCAAACATCACTATTGAAAGCCTGAAGCTATTCGGGCGCACAAAACATGCCATTAATGTCGAGAGCCATACATTGACGGCCATAGGTGGGTCGAGGCAAGATAAAAGAGATATGTTTGTGCAGTTGCAACAACCTACGATCTCTATGTTCGTTAGGAGCGCGAGCAAAGGGAAGTCATTCCGGCGGTAAACAATAACGCACGGTCGGAAACGTCTTTTACGCTAGACCGAGTCCCGTCGAGTTGGCAAACGGCGAGCCAGTAAAGAGCGGGCAATTTGCGCAGTAACACCCGCCGGATACTAGCTGCTCATTAACTATGAACGCTGTCATCAACGACTCTTCTTCAGTTGAAAAAACGGCGGTTAACAGTAGCACTCTCCGCGAATAAACGGTACGTAGAGATGCTTTTGAACGGCCACTGCCACAAAGTGCATATAAATTGCGCTGCGAAATTGAAGCAGAGGTATGAAAGGAGTGGTACACTTTTGAAAGACAGGCCGAGGGCAACTAGCTTTGAAATCTACAGGTTTCTATAAGATGCAAAGAGGGTGGTTTGCCACAAATATTTGCTATCGCTATGTAGCAGAGAAAGAAACTTGTTAAGTATCTATGCGTTTACTTATTGTAAGGGACGTAGTACACAAGATCAGTGTAGCTTTTACTTTGCATTTACTGAACAAAATAAATCTTGAACATAAGTACGTAGGGTTGAGCTTCTTGACCTGCGTTCACATACTGAATTTACTTTCACTTCAGGAAAAAGAAGGACGGGACATCGTTTATCATGGCGATAGTAGACCTTCTTAGCATATTTAACATGCATGAACTCTTTGGTTACAAATGCTTCCCACGTTACCGCCGGAGAGCTGGCGGCTAATCAGATCTTCAAATGACGACTCTGTGGGCTGCCATTGACTATAAAATACTTATCTCTTCTCTCTTTACAACATTACCCCCTACAGTACAGTGATTTTCTCAGAATTTCTCGACGAAATGTCGTAAAGCTTGTGGTTGCAAGATCGACAGTGCTATAGACAGTCTGGATATTGTCTTTTTGGCTGTTGATTTTATCTAAACTGTTAATGTATGCTTTGTAGCAAAACACAAATATGCGTCCAGAAAAAGGATTTTAACAGGCGATAAAAATACTTTTTAGCATATTAGTAAACAAACAAATAGTGGTTTGTGCAGAAGTATTGCAATTTAGTGGAAATGGAAACAGAAAACATACAGCTGTTTTGGATATATGACGGATCATATTTAGAATTTGATGGCACGTGCATAACGGGACCATGGGATTGGATTAAACAATATCTGTTCTATAGCACACGAGTGGTGTGATGAATGGAGCAAACAGGGTTATAGTCCTACAGATTCCGTGCACTAACAAATAACGATCGCCAGTTTGGCGCTCACCTAAGGTTTATGAGCAAAGCCTAGTGAGAAATTCATGATCCATAAATGGGACTTATCTGTGAGCCAGTAAGCAATATAGGATGCACTTGCAACATATCTCACAGAATTAATATTCTGCAGAATCTTGAAGATCTTACTAGCATTCTCGTTTTAACAACTATCAAATGTATTATTTTGGTTAGTGATCATGCTGGATTGGAAGGATTTATGTATTTTTGTAAAGCTTGTGTCTTTCTTCAATATAAGTCCTTTATCTAGTTAACGCAACCATTTTCATTTATTTATTAACCACTTTTTGCTCGATAGAACATTTGCCATTTCGGTTATCTATTCAATCACATAATTACTACTTTTAAATAATTTTATTTTTTTAGTAATAGTATTTTTCAAAGACCTCTGAAATATACATAAAGATCGTTCTGATTTTCGAGTTTTCAATAATAGCATCAAGCTTAAAGTGGAGTATTAAAATTAAAAGGATTTTCTTTCCTTTTTAAATATGAAAAATTCCTAACATCCTCCAATAATTTAGTTTAAGATGCCTATTTCACACGTAGAGCAACTCAAACATATTACGAAAATATAAATTGCGTTAAGGCTAGATTCATAAATACTTTTGCAATTCTGGACAATTGCTCAGGTAGTACAGTTAATCATTGCAACAACATTCATCTAAAACTTAATGAGAAACGTTGGAAATCATACTCTTCAAAGATTTCTTTTTATTTGAAAAACGCTTTTAACTGGCCCCTATTTTCCCTCTGTATAACATCAAACGTCGTTCAGTTTGAGCGCACATCCTCTTGCATATGCTTCTCTCGCCTCAAAACTGAAAGACAACTTGTTTACATTTTTCAACTCATCTCAGTGAATAGCCTTTGAGGAAATATCTATCATATCAACTGTTTGCTATTCATTTCAAAATGTAAGTAGACATATCATTTTATTTGATGTGACAATAAACAATGCTACAAAATGTCATATGACTATTGTTTTTGTCAATATAATTAGGTGCGAGTTTAAAACGTGATATTGATTCGCACTTCAGTGATTATTAGTAAAACGGACATTTGCACACAATGATCTTAAGAAATGTGCGCAAACTAAGATTTTGCTTAGTCAACACGGTTTTGTCGGTTAGGAGGACCAAGTTGGGGCATTAGCTTAGTAACTGAACAAGCTGTTCTGTGTTGGGTTAGAACAATTCTCCAAACTATTACATGAAGGTGTGTAAGTATAGTCTGGAAGTGTTGTATGCATTTAAAATCCCCGCAAACATATTCTCAAACAAAGTTAACTAGTTGTTTCTGCACGTAATAAACTCTAGGATTGGATTTTCTGGTTTTATTACAACATTATTTGCGTGCCTAATAGTTATGAGGAATATACTTGATGGTTATATTGTTTTAAGAAATTTATAGAGCTTTGTATATCCACGAAAAACGCCAGTTTTGAAAAATATAAATATGAAATCTTTAGCGTATTCCATAGGTTTTTAAAAAGAAAAATGTAAAGGTGTTGTCCACAAAGAAACGTGTTTAGTGTAAACATGTTTCTTTGTTTGGAACGACCCTTTACCGTTTAAATACGAATTTCTGAATAGTTCATTTTGATTCATTATTAGTCTCCTATCAGGGAGTATCCAATATGCACTCCTGTATTTTGTAGAGTATTTAATTATCCAATAGAAGAAGATAAAGTCTATCCTCGTTTCCTGTCAGTTTTTAATGTGCTTGTTAGAGGGAGCCAAGGGATGCTTATGGCGAGTTACCGTTAAGCGTGCAAGACCTTTAGGTTAGGCCTTTGTTCAGCAGTGAACGTCTTCCGGCTGATGACGATGATGATGATGATACGGTATTCACCGTGAAAAACTTCTCAGCCTTCATGCCTGTTAACATATGTATATAGGTATTCAAAGCACTTATTTGTGATTCCTCTCTTGTTACGGGTGTTTATAGGCGCTGATCACTATTTGGCGGTGACCCATACGGTTCTTTTTGTCCCATCCCATAAAAGAAATCTTGTACTTTTGACGAACATCACACCAATAAAGATTTTTTTAAATTTTAGTTAAAAAGATGGATAGAAATTATTTACGATATTTGATAGTGTTATTCAGGAAAA